TACAGGATATATCTACACTTTTGCAGGGGGAGCTGTTTCTTGGCAATCAAGATTGCAGAAGTGTGTCGCTTTATCTACAACAGAAGTAGAATACATTGCTGCTGCTGAAGCAGGTAAGGAATGTTGTGGCTAAAGCGCTTTCTCCAAGAACTTGGGATCCAGCAGAAAGAGTACAAGATACATTGTGAAAGTCAGAGTGCTCTAGATTTGAGCAAGAACTCCATGTACCATTCTCGTACAAAGCATATTGATATTCGGTATCATTGGATACGAGAGACGATTGATCAACAACTGTTGAGACTAGTGAAGATCAATACAAAGGAGAATCCATCAGACATGCTGACAAAGGTGGTGACACGAGATAAGCTAGAGCTGTGCAGAGACATAGTCGGGATGCTTGTTTTGAATATGCCTGGAAGGGGAGAATTGAAGAATTCAATTTCCAGGACATATCCAAGTACAAGCAAATTGAAGAATCCAATTGCGAGCAACATCCATGAAGTTTCCTACACATCCAAGAATGACAAAGGAAGCTTCAACCCACCTAGGAGTCACCTTCCTCACACCTCCATTGAAGCTTCCTCCTAGCTTCAACACACCTTCCTTCCACCTTCATAGTACCTGGTTTTGGTGCTATAAATAGAGAGCTTGGAGAATCTTTCTATCATCAAGTAAATTAGAATAGATCATCATAGCACAACCTTGTTTGAGTTGTGAATATCCTTGAGAGATATGTGAGGTGTTTTTGAGAGTTTTTAGTTAGAGCTTGTATGTCTCTTATTTCTATTCTTGAAAGTAATAGAAGTGTTTTTCTCTCATATTAGCACGATCATGTTATTCCCAACATTCGTGACCAGCAAAGAAGAAAGTCTTGCACTCGTCCATGATCAACTGCATATTCAAATTGAACCCTAAATCCTCACATTTCTTCTTCTTCTTCTTCTCCGTTAACAACATCCCTAGCAAGTCATTTCCATACGAGCTACTTCGCCCTATTTCCACAGAATCCTTTCTGCTCTGTATTATATCCATTAGCAGTCTCTCCACCTCTAATTTTAGCAATTTTATGTCTCGGTTATGTTTACTTAGGAAAAACCTGTTAACAACAAATAATAATTAAAAAAACATCATTTAGGATATATGAAGTATGTATGTAACAAAATAATCTTCAAATTATAAAAATAGAAATAACGACCTATATATGACTAAAATAAAGATGACAAACAAAAATGTACATGGCGTGTTGCATAAAGACACTATTTGTAACTTTTAGTGATTTGATCGGGACATGTGTTTAATTTCACCCTATAGTTATAACTACGATGTTACACTCATAATAACTTTAGTCATGTTTCATTCATACCTTTCACGGAGTATTTCAGTAATATTTTAAGGAGTGTCTCTTGAAAATACTACCCTATACACAAAATTTGTATTAGATATATGGAGTATTTCTACTCATAATAACTTTAGTCATGTTTCATTCATACATTTCATGAAGTATTTCAGTAATATTTTAAGGAGTGTCTCTTGAAAATACTACGCTACATACAAAAATTTGTATTAGATATATGGAGTATTTCTTCTATCAATTACCCTTATAGAGTTGAGCTTCCGGTCTTACCATCTTAGAGCCCGTTTGGTAATACTGAAATTATATGAATCAATTGGTTTTGCTGAAATTTATGAAGTTCTAGCTGAAGTGACTGCATTAGCTGATTCTATTGATTTATGAAAAAATTATATTTTAATTTTTTTTATTAATAAAATAAACAAAAATTATATGAAAAAAGCTAAAATGATCTTCTACAATAACTTCAACCAATACAGTCAGAAAAGTAACGTCAACCTTAATCTTTCATATTATTACACAATTCAGGGCGCAAAATCAAAAGTTACGTGTTTGATGAAAAAGTTGGTTCATAAGCCTGATAAATCGAAAAATCGGGTTACCAAACATGCTCATAATGTTAGGCATTTCTCGCACTAAAAAGATGATGGATGACATTTCACTATTTAAATAATGGAATGAGGTAGATTAGTACTCAATATAATACTACCTTCATCATGTTGGAAGGTTCCCATAGCAAAACGATACAATTATTTAGACAATAATTAAATAAAGTACTTCGAATATATTTTGAGAAATAATTTTAATAGGTACTACCTCCGTTCTCTTTTAATTGCAACATTGAACTTTTTGCACTATTCACATATTCTACTTTGACTATATTTTAGTCCGTATTAATTAGTGTATTATAAATTAAATTTTTAAAAAATATTGTTAAATTCTTCTCATTCTAAAATTATAAAATATGATTTTTTTTTAATTTTTTTACTAATAGGGAATGAAAGGTATTAATGGTCAAACTTGTGCGTTGGCAAACGTGAGAAGTTGACTGTTGCAATTAAAAGGGAATGGAGGAAGTATATATATTATAATGTATTTAGTATTGATAACTGTGATGTTATAAATATTTTTTTTAATATTTAATAATTAATTTATCATTTAAGATTGTTAATTATTTCCTAAAATAGAAATATGAACCTTTATATGAGACGTTCAGAAAAAGAAAGTGAGAACCTTCTAGATGGAGATGGAGAGAGCAATAGATACCCAAGTACATTGTTCTAATAGACCGCGGGACCATTTGAAATACAACAAAAAATTAGCTGGTTGGACGTTTTGTAACATGAATTCCACTTACGCCCAAAATTAATCAACCAAATTTGTAATATCATTCCATTCCGAATGCAATTCCTATGCCTGTGCAATGAACCAGACTGCATATGATATATGTCTCATTTCTGATTAATCTCGTCTTGCTTCAATTTATATCATCAATAGAGATATTTAAATGTAATTTAGATATTGATGATCTTCTTCGTTCAATTAAAAATACGATGGATTCAAAATAATAGTTAATAATCAAGATTTCCTAAATTTACTCTCAGTCTCATTTTATGTCGCTTGCTTTTCTTTTTCGATGGTAACAAAATAAATACCTTGTTTCTTTGTGGTTCATAATATTATTTCAGTCTCACTAACATCGATACATGAAGTGGTGACATGGTTATTAAGAAAAATGAGTTTAAAAAGTTAATATTAAAATTGATAAAGTAAAGATAAAATAAGAATGATTTAGAGCCACACAAACTTTAGTAAATTTGATATGAAACAATTTTAGTAAGATATTTCGAAAAAAGAAAAATAAGACGATCTTAGCTGAAGGGAGGAAGTGTGTAAATAAAAACTGAATCACGAGATAATAAAATTGAAAAAAGTGTGCCATAAAAAAGTGTGTCATAACCAATTTTTTCTATAAAGTTAGAAATACTTTTGACAGCTGTGATGATTGTAATAGTTGTGGAGGGCAATAAAGTAGTTTCTTAGAAGTAATAAAGTAGTAATACGTTTTTGTCTTTCTAGAATCCAAATGTCATATTTATGCCTTTTTTCATATAAAAAAGATTACCGGCTGCCGGGAAACACAAATAACGGCTAGCTTGTGCACAACGATGCTGAAGGTCGGTCAATAGATGGAAATTTGTTTCCCCATCTCACAGTTATTGCCGAACTCCGTTTGTGAAATGATATCGGCGGTAAGGGCGACCATGTGGCCGCCGATTTCGATTTCCGGCTGCCCAAATTGCACCGCTTTTTCAAGGGATTGGATCAGGAAATAGGGGCGGCATTGACACATCGTGTTGGAAACTAAGGGAAAAGAAAGCATGAGGAAATATGATTAGAGGTGAGATTCAAAATAAGCGAATCCAACAAGTGACAACACATTGAAGAGGAGATCAAGGTATAAATGCAACTAAGTGAGTCTCATGTGCGTAATTACACTTTCTTGGATGTGGTCTAAGAGAAGTATTTTTTTTAACCCCGATTATACAAAAGACCAGAGCGTTTTTGGGGTGAGGGTCAGGAAACACCTCATATATTCATTAACAACAAGAAAAATATAAATGAGTAGGGGGACTAGACCAAAGCCTACTCTATTAAAGATTACCTAACATAAGGGAAACTAATAGCGTCAAACTTAAGAATACCAAAAAATTTGGTAAAATGATGACTATTGGCTAAACTTAGAAGTATTTCAATCATTGACTCATGAGTTTGTAAATTACATAAGAATATAAGTTTTTCTAGAATCTAAGATAAGACTCTAGGTTGAGACTCCAATAATGTTGTTAAGAAATATAGAGCAATCTAAAGAATGTAATTGAACTATAGGGACACTTGTCAGTGTGTATGCATAGATAAACCAGTACTATACAATCTCATCAATAAACTATATGTGCCCAAAATTAAAGAACGTATTGAATGCAAAACAAAACTGTTTAATTGGAAGAATGTTATCCTAAGGATCCGAAGTGATTTGCTTAAACATAAGTCTGAAGAAAACAAAAATTCACTCAAAAGTTTACTACTCAAAATTTCCAACAAAAGTTTAATTGGACGTATACAAAAATACTATGTGGATGACAATGGTGGTGTTTGGATAGCAGCGGATTGGCCAAACCGCCATTGTTTTAACGAAGGAAAACACTGGTATTTCCAGCGGATTGGCTACAAACCGCCAATAAACAAACAACACCAATATATAGTTACTGCTCCGTAAGTTCTATTGAAGAGAACCTCGATCCTATATCTCATTGTTGCAAGACAAAATTAAAAAAAAAAATAGCATTTTTTAAAAGCAAGTAGCTTTTTTATGCATCTTTCAAAGGCTTCAAAATGACTTGCACCCCATACTTGGGCTTTATAGTGAGGACAACCACTGGCGCGTGACGGTAACTCTCGGAAATATCAAAGCTGAACTTGGATATAAGCATAGCCAAGATGATCTTGGCTTCCATGAGAGCAAAAGATTGGCCCACGCAGTTCCGGGGCCCCGCCGCGAACGGCATGAAACTCCGGCCCGGTCCGGAGAAGGACTTGGTTGCAAAACGCTCAGGATTGAACTCATTCACATCTTTTCCCCAAATTTCTTCACTGTGATGGATGGCTAGCACTGGGACCCATATTGAGAGACCCTTTGGGATGTGAAGATCACCAAGCTTGAAGTCTTCAAATGCCATTCTTGGAAGAATAGTTGCTGGTGGATATAGTCTTAGTGATTCATTGATCACCATGTTCAACTGTAAATGTACATATATTAATGAGTCAATTCCCTAAACAGGACTAAAAAGTGGAAAAATTGTACAAATAGAACTACATTTTTAAAATCCACCCAATAGGACTATTCATGTGTGTTTGGACAAATATACTCTTGTAGCTTTTGAAAATTTTTAATTAATAAAAAAACCATAAAAAATAATAAAATTCGTACAAAATAATAAAAATCGTAAAAAATAACAAAAAAATTATAAAATATTTATAAAATAAAAATTAAAAAAATAAATAAAAATGAAAATGTAAAAAAAAAACCGCCGCCTCTGCCACCCCTTGCACCACCAGCTCCAATCACCGGAGAAAATTTGCCAACAATTCAAAAAATGCCATAATGATGGCAGATTCATTGAAAATGTTGGCATATTGAAGAGTAATTATGATATTTTCTTTGCATTTTCAGAAAAATATGGCATTTTGTTAAAAAAAATGGCAGAAATTTCACCGATTGGAGGTGGAGGTGGTGGTGCTAGGAAGCGGTGGGAAAGGTATCCATATTGTTTAATGGGTTTGTACTACTCCCTCCGTCCCCTTAACTTTGTCCCGTTTTACCTTTTTCGTTAATCCCATAGTATATTTGGTAATATTTGGGTGGTTACAATTCATTCTTACTTTATTCACAGTTTATTAATTCAATATGAACCACACAATTCCATTTTTTCTTAAAAGTTGTGTCACACCCCTTTATCCCAACCATAGTGGGACGGAGGTAGTATTTTTGATTCTTTTTTTAAAAAAATTAAAGAAAACGTATTTCTTAAAATTTTTATTTTATAAATATTTTATTAATTTCATATTTTTTTACGATTTTTTATTACTTTTTATGATTTTTTTTTATTTTTTATGATTTTATTATGGATTAAAGCATTTCATTATGAATTAATACATTTAGGGGTATTTAGGGTAGAAAATCAATGTTTAATCCTGTTTGGAAAATTTAAAAAGTAGTAGTCTTATTTGTGCTTTTTAGGGACTCATTATTCCTATTTAGGACAATTTCCGTAGATTAATGAAGTTCATTACTACGGGGAAATTTGTAACTGTAAATTTGCCTACATTCAATTATAGTTACAAATTACAAAGTTACAAAATTCAATTAAAAACTTTAGTTTGTACCTTTATGCTTTCCTATGATGGGTACGATTAATACTCCGTAATTAAGAAACATGTGTCTCAAACAGAACAATCTAAATCTAATTTGATAAGGCTTAAAACACAAAATTATACAATAGTAAATTTAAACTGACCTGACCATATCAAAGTAAATGAGACATGGAATATCGATAATGACAAGAAATTTAAAGATATATAAGTTTGTGCATTGAATGCTATTTCAAGACAATACAAGGAAAAAAGCAAAAAAAAAGTTGCAAGCATCACCAAGACTTCATAGAATTATTACCAACAATGGTAGATAATTTGTATGTTCGGCAAACATAAATCTCTACCTTCTAGCTTTTATGGTATTCAAAAAGTCTTTAAAAGCTTCTAATTGCATGTTTGACATGCCAATTTTTTAAAGTTGTTTTTTTAAATAAAAGATCTTTTTTGAGATGGTACAATAAATAGTACCTGAAAAAGTTTGTATCTTTTTGCATTGATTAATTAGTCCTAACAACTTGTATACCAAATAGCTACTATCTTTAAACTTTTCAATCACCAAAAGCTAACATTTATTAAAAATCTCATAAAATAATCTTAATACGGATGGTGTCTAAATTTATTCGATTTACATCGATCGAGTGCCCGGGTGTTCAAAATATAAATAATTGTAAAATTTGTAAGTGATTTTTTAACTATTTATACAAAAAAAAGTGACGAAGCAAAGATATTTAATCTAATTGGATTAATACACCAACCAATTAGGCTGGTGCATTAAAGTATTAAACTTGCAATTAACTACTCCGTATATATTTTGTATTGACTACATGAATGTTTGCTTGTATTGACGATTTAGTCACATATATGATCGCACTACGTACTCCCTGTTCCTATATAAAAGCCCTCGTTCATTTTATATACATTTTAAGAAAGTGAGATTATTTGACACTGTTTGACATTGTTTTGCACTGTTTTGTTTATATAAAAAAAGAAAAGAACTTTTATTTATGGATGATCTAAAAAAGAAAGAAAGACTTTTACATAGGGACGAAGGGGTATTAACGGACATCTGCTCATTGAGAAATATGTGTCTATATAAAAAAGTAGCATGTTTTGGACAAGACACGAAGTGTTGCAATCATCAACTACATTGAACAAAGTAAGTCTACAATACATTGAATGCTCATCAGACTTAATTAAGATTTTAAGATGAAACACTCAATCTTAATATTTATTTTCTTTGGTGTGCGTATATATTCTCATATCTTATATTTCTTGGTGTACGTATATTCATCATATATTCTCATATCTTGAAATATACTATCACATAAACCTTGATTTTACTATGTACTTGTGTTTTCAACCTTCTTGTATTCTTGTATTGATTATTCATAATTCTCGTAGTTTTTACTTGTGTTTTCGGGGTTTAATACATCGAAACCCCTCGTGAAATATAAATCCGGCGCATTAGACCATTGTGATTTAAAAAATGCATCAAACCTCCAGTGTTACAATTATTTATGCTCAAAACCCCCTCCAAGGAAAAATTTATAGTTTTTGAAATTACTTTTCTTAATAATATGATTGAATATGCAAGTAACTTTGTCAAAATTTCTAAATTATACAAAAACCCTAATTATTTCCAATATTTTTTGCAATTAAATGTATTCATAGAAGGGGTTTTACGCATGAATAACCATAAAACAAGAGAGTTTTTCGCATTTTTAAATCACATGTCGCTAATGTGCCATTTTTATTTCATGAGAGGTTTTGGTGCATTAAACCCTGTGTTTTCGATCTTCTTGTATTGACTATTATTCTCGTACCGAATCGTACCTTAAATTTTTGGACCAGCGCTAGACCCATCCCCCTCTGGCACAGCTACTAGTTTGGGTACGTATTTGGGGACTCAAACCGGCTAGTCTTGTCCTTATGATAAGTATCGAAGTCATAGTAACTTATATTAAGTTTTTAAACTTAAGTTACTATAATACTATTTGTATTAATTATTAGTCATATTTATGTAAATAATTTTTATTTTAGTAGTATTATTTATTTAAAAAACTCATAAAATAAATAAATAAAAAATTCGGGACGTGACTGAATGTAGAGAGTAATAAATAATGAAATCATATAAAATAGGTCTATTTAGTCTAAAATTAAGAAGGTGCATGTTCCTAAAAGATATCTCGAAAGATTTTTAAAATTGACAAATTGAATGCTACCTACGGAATTATATATCTTGATATCTTGACTATGGAACATGCGTTTTTTATATCAAAATTCCACATCTGACTCTAATTGAATGCTACCTATGGAATTGACATGTGGAACATGCGTTTTTTCCGGATTTCAATGACTTTTTTAGGTATGCTTAAACATAATTTCAATGTCAACAAAATAAAATTAAATGATTAAAGTGGAATATAGAAGATAGATATAATTTCAATTATATAATCAAAATAAAAGGAATGAATGAAAATATGACTTATCAACTTTTAATGATTATAAATATATGGAAAAATGGTCAGATAGGCCTTCGAACTTACATAAAAATGTCAAATAAGCCTTTATATAGGAGACTCTGTCTGGCCGTCACCATTTGGGGTGGTTCCCGGTGGAATTTGTTGATGAAATTTTTCGAGCATCGTATTCATTAAGTCTAGTTTACTCATACCAGATTCCAACAAAAAATTCAATCGGGAAGGCATTCAAATAAATTCTTGAAGATAACTACTCAGTTAAAAGCGCAGTTATCTTCAAGAATTCATTTGAATGCCTTTACGATTGAATTGTTAGTTGAAATTTGGTAAGAGTAAACTAGACTTAATGAATATAATGCTCAAAATATTTCATCAAAAAAATACACTGGGAACTGCCCCAAATGGCGATGATCGGATATAACCTCGTATATAAGGGCTTATTTGACTTTTTTATGTAAGTTCGAAGGTCTATTTGACTCTTTTCTCTAAATATATTGTAAAGTAACATCGTAGTGACTATAAAACTTGCCGTAATAACTTAGTCACATTTTTATCCATAATTTATCTCAGTAGATGCTAATTAACTCATCAGTCGAACTCTAAGTTGAGAAGACGTGGATTACAATGAAATTTACAGAATTCTTAATTGAGAATATTTTAAATTGCATAAAACTTTATGATTTCTGAAATTTCTTTGTGAAGAGACCCTCCCTACACATATAGATAAATTGCTAAAAACTCTAACCTGCACTGCCCTTTTCTCAGAAATTAGTGAAGTTAATAAAAGTGGGGGATTTGTCTTTTTTTTCCTCTTTGCCTGTTTTAAGAACCTCCCACTGTTTTAGCAAATTCTAATACGTAGTACTCCAAAACGTAGTATTTTTCTCACTTTTATCTTCTTTTTCTCGGGATGCCCCTTATTCCAAAACATAATAGTGAAATTGTAAACGAACAAACAACATAGCTTAGGGAGCAATAAATGAAACAAAATAGTCAAATTACAAAAAGTAGTGCAATAAGTTGCCCACCAAATGAAGTTCTCTTTGACTTCCGCTATATTTATCGTAAACTTTGCCCGCCTTTATGTTACTGGAATGAAATTTATAAAAAAAGAACTAATTTCCTTAATAATTGTACATTGTTACACTGTTTTTTTATTTAATCTATTAATATTGCAAAATTCACTTAAATTTTCTGATCTAGTATCTTGTAAATGTCTAGTACTCCTTATATGTGTGTAGTTATTTATCATTGCTAAATCTAATCTAATTTTATGTCAAAAAAGTCTGATCTGATCTTATCTCGATCATCCTTGTTTTGGCATTGATCGGTTTCAATCTTATACCAAATCAGATCAGAATAAATCAAACTTAAACTTATCAGATCAAAGTAGACCATACTTAAATAAAACCAGATTAGTTCAGTCCATTCTTAAATCAGACCAAACAAGACCAATTCAGATCATATGAGGCCAAACTTAAATGAATCAGACTAGATCAGATCAGACTAGTCCGATTAAAAAGATGCTCACAAATAAGTGTTAAGTGAAAAGATGTGTAATGCACAATTATAATCGAAAGAATGGATAAACATACCATGGTGAGCTTGGAGAGGTGGTCGGCGGTCGGCGGCTGTTTGTCGGTGTTACAGACATGTCTAACCTCGGACCGGACTTTTTCTTGCCAAGAAGGGTTTGTGGCCAGGAGCATTATGGTCCATGTGAGTAACAAGGCAGTGGTTTCGTGACCAGCAAAGAAGAAAGTCTTGCACTCGTCCATGATCAACTGCATATTCAAATTGAACCCTAAATCCTCACATTTCTTCTTCTTCATTTCCGTTAACAACATCCCTAGCAAGTCATTTCCATACGAGCTACTTCGCCCTATTTCCACGCAATCCTTTCTGCTCTGTATTATATTCATTAGCAGTCTCTCCACCTCTAATTTTAGAAATTTTATGTCTCGGTTATGTTTACTTGGGAAAAACCTGTTAACAACAAATAATAATTAAAAAAAAAACATCATTTAGGATATACGAAGTTGGAGGAGTTTTCATGTGCGGACGGCCGCACCAGACCCGCCGTCCAGCTGACAGCGCTTGGCCACCTTCCCGGTGGATTTTTTTGATGAAATTTTTATGGCATATTCTTCATCAAGTCTAGTTTATCTACACAAAAATTCAGCTAAAAACTCAATCTGGAATGTCGTCAAATGATTTTTTGAATTTCACTGCGCTAAAATATACGAAGTTAAATTCCAAAAATCATTTGATGACCTTCCGGATTGAGTTTTTAGCTGATTTTTTTGTTGATAAACTAGACTTCATGAAGAACATGTCTTGAAAGTTTCATTAAAAAATATCACCGGGAAGGCGGCCAAACACCGTCGGACGGACGGAGGGTCTTGTGCAGCCGTCCGCATGAGAATACCACTCTACGAAGTTGTATGTAACAGAATAACGACCTATATATGACTAAAATAAAGATGACAAATAAAAATGTACATGACATGTTATATGAAGACACTATATTGGTAACTTTTAGTGCTTTGATTGGGACATGTGTTTAATTTCTCTCTTTAGTAACTATGATGTTATAATCATAATAACTTTAGTCATGTTTCATTCATACATTTTACGGAGTATTTCAGTAATATTTTAAGGAGTGCCTCTTGAAAATACTAGCTTATGTACAAAAATTTGTATTACCTCCATCCCGAAAAAGTTCGTCAGATTATCTTTTCTTGGTCAATGATTGCAAACTTTGAAAAAAGTGTGCCATAACCAATTTTTTCTATAGAGTTAGAGAAATACTTTTGACAGCTGTAGTGATTGTAATAGTAGTGGAGGGTAATAATTAAAGTAATCCAAAATAGGACTGTCATGTTTTTATTCTCAAAATATGACTCATTAGTGTCATGTTTTGGCAATACTGGACTTCAAACATGACAGTATTTTCTAAATATGACAATAATTAGTCCTATTTTGGGAATAAAAAATATGACAATCAAATTTTGGAATTTTCAAACCGTTTTAGTCTTATTTCGGGAACTTTCCCATTAAGATATTGATGATCTTTTTCGTTCAATTAATTTAAAATATGATGAATTCAAAATAATAGTTAATAATCTGGATTTGCTAAAATTACTCTCAGACCCACTTTATGTTGCTTGCTTTTCTTTTTGGATGATAACAAAATAAATATCTTGTTTCTTTTTTGACCAGTTAGAGCTATGTGGTTCATAATGCTATCCCAGTTTCACTAACATCGGTGACATGATTATTAAGAAAAATGAGTTTAAAAGTCGATATTGAATTGATAAAGTAAGAATAAAATAAGAATGATTTAGAGTCAAACAAACTTTAGTAAATTTGGTATGGAACAATTTTTGTAAGATTTTTCAAAAAAGAAAAGTAAGACGATCTTAACTGGAGGAAGGAAGTATATAAATAAAAAGTGACTCACCAGATAATAAAATTGAAAGAAGTGTGACATAGCCAATTTTTTCTATAAAATTAAGTAAATACTTTTGATAACTGTGGTGATTGTAATAGTAGTGAAGGGTAATAAAGTTCTTAGAAATATTCCGTAATAAAGTAGTGTTAAAGTTTGAATTTATTTAAGCCTTTAATGAAATGTTAGTATCAATTAAGAAAACTAACGACGGTTTTGTCTTTTTAGAATCCAAATGTCATATTTATGCCCTTTTTTCATACTCCGTATAAAAAAAGATTACCGGCTGCCGGGGAAACACAAATAGCGGCTAGCTTGTGCACAACGATGCTGAAGATCGGTCAAGAGATGGAAAATCTGTTTGCCCTTTTCGCAGTTATTGCCGAACTCCGTTTGTGAAATGATATCGGCGGTGAGGGCGGCCATGTGGCCGCCGATTTCGACTTCCGGCTGCCCAAATTGCACCGCTTTTTCAAGGGATTGGATCATTTTGTCGGTGCATTCCACCATGTTTCCCACATAACTCTACAGTCCAAAATCACAAACAAAAGTGGAAATACATTATACTTGCAACAATTATTGGCCCACTAATTTATTTAATGCCATATTACACGCTAATCCATCACTTTCTTGTCAATCAATTTATAATTCGATGCGATCGTCAACATCGAAGAAAACGTTAAAACAAAAAATAGCACACGTTTGTATGTACTATACATAGAGTAATGTTTTTCATCCTTAGCTTTCACCCCTATAACCTAACCTACATTGTGAATTTGTGATAGTGGGGGGGGGGGGGGGGGGGGTATGCTTTCCAATCATCCACATCAATAAAACAGTAAAATATGGGGGAAAATGTTTTCACTTTTGACACTCAAAAATTACAGAATAAAACACAAAAATTATTTTTAACTGACATACTTCATCCGTCTTCTCTGTTAAGATTATACTTTCTATGTTTATCTTTCATTTTCTATTCGTCCATTAAGATTGTCTCATGACTCTCGTACCAAATTTGATAAAATTCGTGTGATCTATATCACTGTATTTTTATTAATTCAATAACAATTATATAAACATAATTTTCTTATTAACCGTGACACGTCTCATGTATCAATGTTATTGAGACGAAGGTTGTAGATTATATAACTCTAAATTTGTAATGCGTAAAACTCGAAGAATGACACTACACTCGAGTTATTTTCCTTCTAGGATATGAAACTCGTTACACTTCAATATTTTTAGTTAGACTGTTTTAATACTAATCTCGTCCGGTTTCATCTGACTAGCTAATCATATATAGGATGCGGTGCGATTTGTATGGTTTAATCAAGTATGGTCTGTATAAGTATCTTGTCATATGTGACTTGTTTAAGTCTGATCGATCTGTGTAAATATATAACTTATAACATAGAAGTTATATATGTGCAATTCCGAATACAGACTGATAATTCAATCCAGCTCGATGTGATTTAGCTGGAGTGTTAGAACATACGGGGTACGACATACAACAGTACATATGTGCCTTGATTCTTAAAAATCTCCACCTCTTTATTCACACTATCCCAAAACAAGGTTGTTCGACGATCGTTTATTATCTATTTTCCATCCCAAAATAAGGTTGTTTGAAGTTCTATTATTTTCCATGCCCCCTAGGGCCCTACATGCATATAATATGAATTACTAAATACGTAGTATATACTATCGATGGTACCATATTCCGTAGTTCTATATAGTCTAATCTTGTATGTTTAAGTCTGATCTGATCTGAAATGATATGGCGTTGTAAACGTTTGCTGGTTCGATCTATTTTGATATTATATGGTCTATTTTGATATTATATGGTCAGGTCTGGTCCGATTTCCTACTTAAGCGAGTCCAATTAAAAACCTATTAAGTATTCAACGAGACACATAACATGTTAAAAATACTTAATCAGCAACGGGCTTTCATGGCAATTCAACTAGATGGATTCAATTTTTGTTGTGAATACTTTTTTCAAAAAAGATAAATCTTAAGTTGGTTGATACCAAAGGTGCCTAGGCAGCTCAAAATTGGAAAAAACAAAGTTTATAGAGCTAAATTGTAAAAGAATGATAATATGAGTGATGATAACGTGAGAAGGAGCACTTTCAATGACATTTAAAAACTTTCATTTATATAACTCAATAATAGATCTTTTATACCATATGGCCTATGAGAACAAAGGGTTATGTACTCCATCTAGTCTAGTCATTATTGCTTGTACTTGGACTACTTATTATATGCGCGTAAAAGTAATCTTTATGATGGCTAGTGTTTTTAAACCAATACGGGGTACTAACAACAACACAAAATCTATGAGTGCATTATAATATTATTCTTATATTATTCTCTGATTTGATGGGATTCTAGGTGACAAAAAAAGAATAAAGTCAGCCTAATTATTTGCTAATTAATACCAAGGAAAAGAAAAAGAATGAAATTAAAGTTAGACCTTGAGCTTGTCTCCCATGAAGGCTGGCGCGACAATATGACGCTGGTGGTGCCAGTCGTTGCCGTTAGCCATCAAAAGGCCGCGGCCAATGAAGTGTTTGGATCCTTGTTGTTGTAACCATGATTTTCCCGAAATCGCGTTGTGCTTTGTGAGAAGTTCTTTTATCAAATCTATTTCAGTCAAACACATCCTTGGCTCAATCCCGTTCCAGTATATGAATCTTTTTCCTACAAAGTAACCAAAGAAAAAACTCTTTAATATTTTTCAGATTTTGGTCTAATTTGTTTTCACACCTCATCCCCTTCCAGTACATGTACCGTATTGTTTGGACCAGGCAATGAAATGAGGCAAAAGGCGGGGGACGACGTCATGGTGGATGGAGTGCATATCATGGGCTGAGGACTTGGCGAGCATGGCGGCGGTGTCGAGGATGTTTCCGACGAGGAACCGGGGTTTGGGGCCGAACACTCCCTGTGCCTCCATGGTTTTCTTGATGCGTCGTGGGGTTAACCAGTAAGTTGTGACGATTCTGTAGGAAGCGTTCAGGAAAAACATGCAGAGACATGTGAGTAATAGAAGTTGGGGAACCAGAACCACTGTCGGCCCCATAACGACCATTGTCGGTGGTGGTGGTGGTGGTGGTGGTGCGGTGGTGATTGGTCGATGATTAACTTAAGTACGGCGGGTTACTTTTGGAATGTACTTGTGTGTTATTATTATGACATATGCCAAGTAATAAATACGTAGTATATATAGCATGAATTGAATGATATGATGAATAGGCCCGGATGCGAGTACATACTTATAGAAACGGAGAAAAGTTATAGCCAAAGTATGTTAACGCGTATGATATCAAGTATACATTATGACATAATCAAGTACAAAGCACTTTTCATATTAAAGTCTAAAGATTTTGTGTATAATCATTAATTAAAGTGCGTTAAGGCTTGCGTTTTTCCTCTTTTATGTTAAACATTAACATTTACTCTCTCCTAGCTGGGTGGTTGAAGTTTGTATAGACGAGAAAGATCAGACCAAAAGAAAATGATAAAATTAGCTGGATAACAAAAAAATTGACAAAATATTAAAGAATTGTGTAAATTTTTTAATAGAGTATAAATAAATTCTCTCTTTCTTTGATTCATCTTTTGAGATTTCAAAAGAAGGATTAAAAATAATGTGAAATTTTAAAGAAGGAATACTTTTGATATAAATTACTATCATGACCGAGCTTTTTGTAACCATAATACTCCGTACCATATACTCCGTATGATTTTCCCGAAACCGCGTTGTGCTTTTTAAGAAGTTCTTTATCAAATCTATTTCAGTCAAACACACAGTTGGCTCAATCCCGTTCCAGTATATATATGAATCTTTTCCTTAGAAATAACAAAAGAAAAACATCTTTAATATTTTTCAGATCTTGGTCTGACTTATTTTCATGCCTCATCATTTCATTTTAAAATTTGGGATTTTATTGACTTGACATTTTGTCGAAGCTAGATAGTGCATTTTATAGTGGAGAGCTCACATTATGCTTATTTAGTGGGAATATCACATTATGACTACTAATCATTCATCTTGAATTTTTAATGACATATTACCAATAGTGTAACCGACCTGAAGGCAATAAATTTTTTTACGTAGTATAATTTTTAAATAGAGAAACTTTTGACCCTTAAAAGTTAAAACACAAATTATTTTTACCTCATAATGTGACATACTTCCTCCGTCTGTTCTGTTAAGATTATCTCTATCTTTCATTTTCTATTCGTCCATTAAGATTGTCTCGTGACTCTCGTACCAAATTTGATAAAATGTGTGTGATCTATATTATTATATTTTTATTAATTCAATATCAATTATATAAACATAGTTTTCTTATTAACCGTGACACGTCTCATGTATCAATGTTATTGAGACGAAGGTTGTAGATTATATGCCTCTAAATTTGTAATGCGTAAAACTCGAAGAATGACACTACACTCGAATTATTTTCCTTCTAGGATATGAAACTCGTTACACTTAAATATTTTTAGTTAGAGTATTTTCATACTAATCTCGTCCAGTTTCATCTGACTAGCTAATCATATATAGGATGTGGTGTGATTTGTATGGTTTAATCAAGTATGGTCTGTATAAGTATCTTGTCATATGTGACTTGTTTAAGTCAGATTGATCCGTGTAAATATATAACTTATAACATAGAAGTTATATATGTGCAATTCCGAATACAGACTGATAATTCAATTCAGCTGGAGTGTTAGAACATACGGGGTACTACATACAACAGTACATATGTGCCTTGGTCCTTCAAAAATCTCCACCTCTTTATTCACACTATCCAAAAACAAGGTTGTTCGAGGATCGTTTATTATCTATTTTCCATCCCAAAATAAGGTTGTTTGAAGTTCTATTATTTACCATTCCCCCTAGGGCCCTACATGCATATAATACGAATTACGAAATACGTAGGATATACTATCGATGGTACCATATTCCGTAGTTCTATATAGTCTGATCTTGTATGTTTAAGTCTGATCTGATATGATATGTCGTTGTAAACGTTTGCTGGTTCGGTCTATTTTGATATTATATGGTCAGGTCTAGTCCGATTTCCTACTTAAGCGAGTCCAATTAAAAACCTATTAAGTATTCAACGAGACACATAACATGTTAAAAATACTTAATCAGAAATGGGCTTTCATGGCAATTCAACTAGATGGATCCAATTTTTGTTGTGAATACTTTTTTCAAAAAAGATAAATCTCAAGTTGGTTGATACCAAAGGTGCCTAGGCAGCTCAAAATTGTAAAAAACAAAGTTTAAAGAGCTAAATTGTAAAAGTATGATAATATGACGTCATGGGTGATGATAACGTGAGAAGGAGCACTTTCAATGACATTTAAAAACTTTCATTTATATAACTCAATAATAGATCTTTTATACCATATGGCCTATGAGAACAAAGGGTTATGTACTCCATCTAGTGTAGTCATTATTGCTTGTACTTGGACTACTTGTTATATGCGCGTAAAAGTAATCTTTATGATGGCTAGTGTTTTTAAACCAATACGGGGTACTAAAAACAACACAAAATCTATGAGTACATTACAATATTATTCTTATATTATTCTCTGATTTGATGGGATTCGAGGTGACAAAAAAAGAATAAAGTCAGCCTAATTATTTGCTAATTAATACCAAGAAAACGAAAAGGAATGAAATTAAAGTTAGACCTTGAGCTTGTCTTCCATGAAGGCTGGCGCGACAATATGACGCTGGTGGTGCCAGTCGTTGTCGTTAGCCATCAAAAGGCCGCGGCCAATGAAGTATTTGGATCCTTGTTGTTGTAACCATGATTTTCCCGAAACCGCGTTGTGCTTTGTGAGAAGTTCTTTTATCAAATCTATTTCAGTCAAACACATCCTTGGCTCAATCCCGTTCCAATATATGAATTTTTTTCCTACAAAATAACCAAAAAAATCTCTTTAATATTTTTCAGATTTTGGTCTGATTTATTTTCACACCTCATCTCGTTCCAGTACATGTACCATATTGTTTGGACCAGGCAATGAAATGAGGCAAAAGGCGGGGGACGACATCATGGTGGATGGAGTGCATATCATGGGCTGAGGACTTGGCGAGCATGGCGGCGGTGTCGAGGATGTTTCCGACGTGGAATCAGGGTTTGGGGCCGAACACTCCCTGCACCTCCATGGTTTTCTTGATGCGTCGTGGGGTTAACCAATAAGTTGCGACGATTCTGTAGGAAGCGTTCAGGAAAAACATGCAGAGACATGTGAGTAATAGAAGTTGGGGAGCTAGAACCACCGTCGGCCCCATAACGACCATTGTCGGTGGTGGTGGTGCGGTGGTGATTGGTCGATGATTAACTTAAGTACGGCAGGTTACTTTTGGAATGTACTTGTGTGTTATTATTATGGCATATGCCAAGTAATAAATACATATAGCAGCCAAGTAATAAATACATATAGCATGAACTGAATGATATGATGAATATGCCTAGATGTAAGTACATACTTATAGAAATGGAGAAAAGTTATAACCAAAGTATGTTAACACGTATGTTATCAAGTACAAAGCACTTTTCATAATAAAGTCTAAAGATTTTGCATCTATCTAGCACCGAAACTCTCGGGTAAGAGTACGTTTCCATTTCGGAAACCCTACAGAAATTCTTTGGAAACATTCAAAATGAGTTTTTTTGAGAAAAAGTTGACGTTTACCATTTCCCGTTTCCTCATAATTTTCGCGTTTTCGTGCAACATAGTTTTGCGTATAACCAAGCTAAGGTACGTTAAGGCTTACATTTTTTCCTCTTTTAGGTTACACATTAAATTTTACCTCTGGGTGGTTGAAGTTTGTATAGATGGGAGAGTACTAAAACTCTAAAAGGAAAGGTGATAAAATTAGTTGAGTAACAAAAATGTTGATAAAGTGTTAAGGGATAGAGTGTACTTTTTTAGAGTATACATAAATTATCTCTTGTGTTTTGGAGATTTCACAATAGATTAAAAATAATGTGAAATTTCAAAGAAGGAATATGTTTTACCAAGTATGAGTAAATTACTATCATGACCGAGCTTGTTGTAACCATATACTCCGTATGATTTTACCGAAACCGCGTTGTGCTTTGTAAGAAGTTCTTTTATCAAATCTATTTCAGTCAAACACACAGTTGGCTCAATCCCGTTCCAGTATATATTTGAATCTTTTTCCTAAAAATATCAAAAGAAAAACATCTTTAATACGGAGTATTTTTCAGATTTTGGTCTGATTTATTTTCACGCCTCATCATTCCATATTTAAAATTTGGGATTTTATTGACTTGACATTTTGTCTAAGCTAGATAGTGCATTTTATAGTGGAGAGCTCACATTATGCTTATTTAGTGGAAATCTCACATTATGACTATTTTTTTTGACAGTAAACTCACATATTATATTAAAATGAAGCTCGCAGTTTAATAAGGTAACATGTAAACAATAAAGTAACCCCCTCTATCCTAAAATGACCAAGAGCCCAGCGCCCCCTCACTCCTATATCAGATATAGAATAGTCCACCCCAAAAAGAGTGAGACTAATCGCTGAAAATGTGAGAGCTTCGAGGCTATTAGCGGCTGAATCAGCCTGATTGCCTCCAATAAGTAATCTATCAACTAAAACAAAACAAAGCGTCATTCTACCCCCCTTATTGTTTATCCTAAAAAGAGCAAAATAGAAATAGTAAAATAGTCTGCACTGAAAATAAAAAACCAGAAATAGTAAAACAGCCTTCCAAACCCTAGTCGTATAGTTCATCCATGGCGGTGGTTCAGGAGGGGTGATGTGAGTTTTCTCGCACTTAAAAAGATTGTAATATAGCGGGGAAAGTACGAGTATCGTCTCCACAGGGACGGTAAAAGGGAATTAAGAATTAACTAAAATCAGCGATAAAAATAAATAAAACAAATGCGGTCGTGCGAGAATTGGTTACTTGAGAAAACTAAAATTGCAAAAAAAAAAACGACTAAAAGTAAATGATTGGGTTCTTCTTAATTAACAACGAAAGGAACAAGGATTGATTCCGGGGTAATCAGATTTCTGGCAAATCAGGCTTAATTACATGAATTTAATTTAATTGAGCCTAGCTAATCAATACTAAGTTCTTACCGCTCTCGCGGCGTAGAGTAAAATAATTTAGGGGACCAAGCTGATCTCTCATGCGACATGATCCTAAATTATTGCCAAGACGAACGAGCTT